AATTTGTTCTCTTCCCTTTTAATATATTAGCCATTTGTTGATATTACAAAAGCTGTTTGATAATGGTGTAGCAGCCAGTCTGTCATGTCACTAAACTATTGGACTTTTACTGGAAACCGATACACCATCATAAAATTCAAAGGAATGTTTCAAAGACATAATCATGCAGGCTGTATCATTTTAAACTCATTGGGAAAACATTTCTCAGAGGTGTTCTTCAAATGCAAGGCTTTCCAGATCTTTTTCTATTAGAGCTGGGATTCGTGCCATGACAACCCCCTTAATCCAGTTCTTGCATCTGAGTCAGGAAATGCCTGAAATAGCCTTGAAGATTTGTCTCCTTATTATAATTTACCCAGGAAATGTTGAGTTCATTTTCAGGACCTTTGTTCTTATTTCTTGATAGATCAACCCAAATATTTGTATTGTTTGAAATGTGTGCTTATACATGTGCTCCAGCCTGGGGAAGGTGGTGTATTAATTTAACATGTGTATAGGTACCTCTAGGGACTAGTTGTGTGTCTCAAGTGTTCCTTTTCTAACAGAAAGAGTAGATAGGAAACTTGCTAAGACCTGGTAACTGTATTTACTTTTACCTTTGATACCACAGTTGCATGAATAACATTGCTCTCATTTAACTGCTATTTTTTATTGGTACTGGCCAGTGGTGCTGATATCTAAAGTATCATTAAAAAATCTGGTAACCAAACTGTTCTCCAAAAAATTCAACAACAGTACATTTTAATAGACAGATTGCATGATCTGATAACAAGGCTAATACTTTGCATTGTTATCTTGTCCTCAAGAAATTAATTCCCCTGTTTTACAGATGAGAGATCTGGAGCAATGCAACAGCAGTTCAATTCTATCCACAGCACAAGAACAGGACTGCAGTGCTGATATGCACCACTCTTCCTTGTGTTAACACTGAGTATTGAAAGTCTCCTTGAATCCAGGTTTTGTTAATTAGCCCAGAAAGCAACTTCTCACTTTCTGGAAAGTGCACAAAGCATTTTTTGTGTGTTCCATTTGAAAGGACATAGAAAAATTAATCAATTAACTAACTGAAGAGACGGAGATGGAAAAAAGAGAGCTTGCCCCTTATAGTCATTTTGACACTCACCCATAATATTTCACAGCATCTGATGAAGTAGATTATTGCCTACAGAAGCTTATACCTCTCCAAACAAGTTAGTTTCTAAGATGCCACCCTACCCTGCCTTCTACAAAATATTGGATGCAATTGTAACAAAGTGCTTGAAGTTATTGATACTAATGAAAGAGAGAAATGGCTGAGCCATATACCTTATAATTTTGCATCTAGCTCTTTTCCCTTCCCTCTACTCACACTTTCCTTTCGAAAAATCTTTCCTCAAAGATCCTAGAGCAAACTTTGATTGTGGCCATTTGATAGAAATAGTAGATCACAAAATTAGGACTCGTCAATTTCAGTGCTAATCATAACTAAAGTATTGAAACTTGGGTGTCTAGAAACTGATCTCAGTGCAAGCTGTGGGCACATGGCATCCCTGCAAATCAGGCTCTTGATTTAGGTACCTAAAGATTAATCTAAATGTCTAATTTAGTGGACTCATACTTGGACATTTTGTCCCACAGGCATCTATTATCATTACTGTTTGCTGATACGGGATAATCAAAGCAACGCAGCAAAACAAGGAAAGACTTCTCCTCCTCAAAGATCACATACAGGGACGGAAATTGCATAAAAGCTACATAAGGAAATACTTTGGCTGGGTGCCTCAAGCAAGGGCATAATGAATCTGAAGGTGGCTCTTGCTATGACAGTTCTTTTTGGAAGCAATAAGGTGATTATCACTTTTTGTTCAACCTTCCCTTTCCTAATGTAGCCTGAAATCAGCAATGCCTTTGTCTAGCAAGTGGCTGTCACTCCTGCTGGTTTACAATGTCAAAGGATTGTCCTTGGGGGGAGGCTTGTATTGGAAGGACCGTATCATTAGTAGCATTCTGAAATAATAGGGATAATGAAGTCAGGCAACTGGTCCCCATTTCCTGGGGAACATCTTCTTATTATAAAAAATGATAATAACTGTTGTCAACCCTTGAATTAAGTGATTTACCTAGAGGGAACTACTGTATATCCTGGCAATGCAATAGAAAGCTGAGGTTAAATGAGCACCATCAAACTTAAGTAACCTTCAGACAGAACAAGTGTGTAAACTGCAAGGGAAAATGTTAGCCATGTGGAGTGCCACAGGTATCACAAAACTGTCCCATGGAAAAGGATAAAGGTCCAAGCTCCCTGCTGGAATAAACTGGCTCCACTCCACTCAAGTAATTTATACCATCAGGAAGTTTGACCCCAAATCGTTCGCATTCGTCCATTAAAATAGAAAGTGGTGGGCTTTGTGCCGTTTCCAAACCCATAATGAGTAAACCCTTACTGCAATGATAGTTATAAATGAAGAGATGGATGGCTATGAAAAACTGCTTCTGAGTTTAATGTAATTATATTTCAGACCTCATTTCTGTTCGTCTAATAAAGTGCAGTGAATTAGGACAGGACCCTCTAAAGAAATGAGTATGGGGGTGGATCTGATTTAGATATAAAAGTAAAATGACATGTACAAAAATAGAGAAAGAGAGAGAGAGAAATGGCAAGATCTGTAGTGCAAGTTCCCTGAAGTAACTGTATTTTTTTCCCCATGGGGATTTCTGGTTCTCTTCTGTGCAGTTTTATGGCTGCTGAAATCATCTCTAATTGCTAATCACTCCCTACACCACAAAGTGCAAGCTGCTGTCCAGTCTTCCTGTTGTAGATCCAGCAGCAGAGCAGCAATCTGCAGTGTAGGAACCAGCCAGGCTCCCCCGGCCCTGCTTCCACCTGCCAGCACGACCTGAATGAATACCCTGGGGGGTTAAAATACAATCTCCACCCCATGCTCTAAAGGCAGGCGAAAATTATTTTTCCAGGAGTGTATTAAAGAAACCTACAGCTATACCTCGGCCCCGGGGAAAATGCACTTGGAGCTCATCCAAGTCTCGCTGTAGTCAACAGGTTTCGGAGCACTTTGGCCATTCAGCCAAGTCCGTGCCCCCCCACCCCATCTGGTCTCCCCCTTTGCTCCATGGTGCAGATGAAGACGGGGGTGCGCCCCCTGCCCGGGCACTGCCGGCTGCATGCACTTTTGGCTCTTCCCTCTTACAGCCCAAACCTGGCGGGATGGGAGCGGGGGGGGCACTTCCAAGCCCCCTCACGCCCCAGCGCCCCGCGGTCCGGCCGGGCTGCCCTGGCGGCGGGAGCGCCAGCG